TCCATCTTCGAGTCAGGGCAAGCATCAGCAATCTGACATCAGTGGCAGTCAATGAGTCAATGCAGACTTGCATTCTGTAGCAATGGCAGTTAAGAGCGGAGCAGCCTCCAGAGTCTGGACCCACCATTCCAGCTTTTCGAGGGGCATTTTGCCACCCCTCGGTTTCAAAGGAGTGACTGCCATGGCATCCATCCAATCAGTCCAGGTGGTCGTACCAAGACCAAATCCACCGGTCGGGACAACCATTGACCTCATCACGCTTCCCGTTCCCAGCTCGCAGCCTGCCTGCAGCGAATACCGAACTTCGAATGTCATGGTACGCGGTGCCGTTAATCCTGTTAAGCTCGCTGAGGGACAATTCGTCATTTCTGACGCTGACGAAGCCCGATGATGGAGCGATCCCGATTGCCATCCCGAAAGCGCCTGAACCTTACAACTTTTCTCCGTATCACCTCTTGTGGGCTCGGGGTGGAGAGCAGTACTTAGTAGTTGCTTTTGCCCTCGTTTACATGGTCAGGGCGACAGAAGGGCGACATGTACCACGAGAGAGGGCAGAGAGGGAGGGATATGGAAAGATAGAGAGAGAGAGAGAGNNACCTTCTCACATCCTCCCGAAAGCCTCACAAATCTGGGGGGCCTATTGGCCAGGGGGTTTGACAGACCCCTCATGCCCTTCATTTGACGCGCCGAAGGAGCCTACACTAACCTCGCTCCGACCTTTCCCCCTTGCCTCTTGCACGGATTCCATGATGGGGGGGGTGCGCGGGCTGGCGGGCAATCCCAAGCCCCTAGCCTTTGCGAAAGAAAAACGAGACAGAGAGTGGACGCGGGAGACTAAATTCGCCCCCTACGGCCCGGAGAACAGAACGGAACAGAACAGAACAGACAGAGAGAGAGACACCCGAAAAACAGAATAAAGCTCGAACAGACTGAACAGCAAGATGCAAGCGAAGATGGAGCTGACAATCATGTAAGACGTGATGGAACATTTCTGCCAGGCGAGCAGGATCGATTGCACGTGATTCAATGTTGCATGTAATGTGCCTCCTGTAAACAGGGGACTTGTCATGCTTAATCTTCAGTGTTCTTAACGTCATTAAAACTGGTATCAAAGCTGCTGGATCTGCAAGGCTGTCATGCGCCAGATAGTGGACAGAATTGGCTGAATTTCATCGCTACTGAAGGACGATGAATTTCATAGCTGTCAGAAGTGCTACAGTCAGTCAGAAGGCTTAGCCGCAATAGCTACCCTGCCAGTCAGAGAAATCATCTGCGAAACTACAGTAGAATGACGGTTGTAGTCCACGCAAGAGGACTCACAAGGATCAGAATATTCATTCATATTCATTCTAAGCACATATCTCCACCGGCACTGATAGCACGAACTATTAATAGTAACTATTATCATGGTCCAATTGTTCATAAATGACAAAAGCACCAGTGCGTACGTGAAGGAGACAAGTCTGCAGAATCAACGAGGGCAACCAGTACAGCATGTAGAAAATAGGTATTTCGGAATTGACATGTGGGAAGGCCGCGCTCCAAAATTGCGGTTTCCACGTTTCCAGGATTCCGGGATCCAACTGCTCGAGTTCCAGCACAACCAGATGTGGTTCTTTAGCCATCCTATTCCGATCCCTCAGTGGTTGCTCCCACTCCTTTTTGTAGTGATTAAAGTGCGGCCTCCTCTTGTCGAAAACATCTCGTGCCAGACCCGCAACCTTGTTCGTAAAATATCATGAGTTGACCTAAGATGTTTGGTCCAGTGGAATGATTCCGGCTTCTGGTGCCAGAGGTCATGGCAATGGGGTCTGTGACGCGATAGCCGTCCGTGATTGACGATGGTCCTCCCGCGCGCATCGAGCCTGCTTCGCCAGGCTGCGGTCCTCTATTGCTGCACCCTACGCGGCCGTTCTGGTGGCCGCCTGAGCAGTTATGCAATTGGCAGTAACTTTTCGGGTAGCAGGCATGGCCCTCCTCTTGCCTAGGTCGCCCAAGTCCAAGTTGAACAATCTAATTTGGAAGCATTGGGCCTGCCCACAGCCTTGGCAAGCAGGCCGATGCTTGGGACTGCATTGGGATCTGTCGTGTTACTTGCGACACTTCAGCGAAGAGATGACAGGTCACGTTGGCTTTCGCGGTGTCCGAAGACGCGTGCTGTCTTGCCTTTGCCAAGGAGTGTGACGACTGCTGAAGGGAAGCAGCTCAAGCTTGGCTACAAGATGGTGGAGGCTCTCGCCCCAAACTGTCGCCGGGAAGTTGACGTGATGTGGATGTGCTGCAAGCTTCGCAGGTAAGCTTCCTTGACCTCGATGTGGGTGGCGGCGCACAAGTCTTGGAAGCTTGCTCGCACGACGGGTGACGTCGGGTGAGGATGGTGAGCAAATTTGTCGGTACGCTGACAGCAAACAACTGGCCTAGGCTGTCCCGAGCTCGTCCAGCCCCATCTACATGAGGCGGGGGGGGGGGGAATGGATCCCGATAGTGGGTCAGGGGGACCAGGGTGCAAGCTCGGAAGCTTGGCAGGCTCTCTGATCAGAACTTCCCCGGTGCTGTGTGCGCCTTTCTCAACGCTGCGAACGAGTGGTCGGAGGTCGCCAGCATGTGATAGCAATGTGCTCGTGCTTCGTATAGCAGCATCGACGTGCGAGGCCGGTACCAGCGTTCCGTCCACGGCAGAGATCAGCGAGGCTTTTGGGCCCGACGCCGCTCGGCAGAGCCGCCTCAGCAATTGCACTGCATCGACCCTTCTTGTCTGAGATTGCTGCAGCGGGCGGCTTCTGGTGCTCTGCCTACCACCTCTCGCTCTTCGCAATCCTCGAGGCCGTTCGTTTGGGTTGTGAAACCCCCTCATCACCTCATCACCTTTCTGGTGTACTTTCGAAAGGGTAGCACTGTTTCCAGTCATCAGTCCAGCCGAACACATTTGCAACTGAAAGTTATATGTATGAGAATCAACATAGGAAGTCTCTGGCTATGATCTTCCTGGAAGTTTCAACTCATGGAAGATCATATAATTTCCAACTGTTCTAACCGAAGACTTGTTGAGATTCGATGTCTCGAGCCATGAAACTTTGCCTATGCCGCAAGGGTTGGGTGTCGGACATGAAAGTTCCGTCATGCTGCATGGAAGAGGGCCGTGTAGGCTTTGGGCGTGGCGGCTGGTGGTATTCGTTGCTTGGGCATCAGAGCCTGCGGCTCCAGAGACTGTTTGCAAATTTGAGGTGCAAGAGAGTGGAGTTGAATGGTTATGAGCCCTGCAATGTACGTGACAGAGCGATAACGAATATGATGCTCGACGATCTGCTGTTTTTGTTGCTAGTAGATGAGTACGGTAGGTGGGTCCGTGGACGATCTGGGTAGTTTCTTCCTTGTTGTTGGTTCGCACAGAGGAAAATGCGTGAAACGCCGATTCGCAGTGAGATACAGTGAGCAACCCCTCGAGTCCGTCACGCTTCGTTAGTGCTCGTGTGCATCCCATCAGATGCTGCTCCAGACAGTCCTAGGTGCAAGCAGCATAGAGATGTACCATGCAGGACATGCCTGCCTTGATTCGTAGATGTCGTGAAGCAACGTGCCTGACTGTGTTGAGGCGTTCTTGTCGAAGCTACGGAATGACGGCTTGACAGTGGAGCAATGGGATTGTGCTTGTGATGATTGCTGTGATTGTTGAGATTCTGAGTGTTGCTGTTGTTGTTGTTGTTGGTGGTGGTGGTGCTGGTGCTG